ATTATATATGAATATATATCATTATTTTATTTATATTTTATATTATTGTTATTTTTTTATTTTTATTTTATATTTTTTATATTTTTTTTTATATATGAATATATATCATTATTTTATTTATATTTTATATTATTATTATTTTTTTTTTATTTTTATATTATATTTTTTATATTTTTTTTTTATTCGTCATCCGTATAATTTAATAACATTCCAGCTTCGGGCACATAGTCCAGTAATTTGATCAAGTCCATACAACTCGTTCTACTTAACATCCCTTGACGATTTTTTTTGGAATATAAGAATACGGTTATGTTTTTTGTTATTCTTTTAATTTCCTCCTTTGTAAAAACGTCGTGTAGAACACTGTTTGCTATCGCCATGTGCTCGTTTAAACATTTAGGTTTATCTCCTTTTCCTACAGTACTTGTGTCATGCACCCAGTGGCGTATATACGAATTATTTTCACTATGGGCCAATTTATCAATTATCACTAGTCAAGTAGCATAGCCATAATCATAGCCCATAGGTACATTTTTAAGGGAGCAGCTGCGGGGTTATATAGTTAATAATTATGACATATTATTCTGTACAAATAAAAATTGCGCAATTCAATTTTATAATTATTATGTAAAATTAATTTTTTGTTTCTTTTTTAAAAATATTGGCAGTGTCGTTTATATATTTTAATATTATCTTACTATGAATTTAACATCAAAGTCAATAAGTCATTAAAGCAAGTCCCGTGAATATAACATTTCCTTGTTGATTCCTCAAAAATGACTTTAATCAACCGGCTAACTAAATCATGGTGAAAAACTGTAAACAGTGTAAATATACATGCAATGCTTTAATTGAACCTGCAATTTCACTATGGGCTCTGGCCTAGGGGGGCTCCCCCCTATATACGCCACTGTCGCCACTGCATGCACCCCATATAAAATTGCTAGTTCTAGTTAGTGTACGAATTCTCGGTCCCTTATCCTAAAAGTAACATAAATTTCATACATTATATATTTTTTTTATTATTTTGTTCTTGATTTCTTTATTCTTTTTTCTACGTATTCTAGAGCTTCGTCTAACTTCGTCTCGACGTTTATAGCTTAAGGCGGCTCTTAGTAGCTATTATTTAAGGGGAAAAATTTAGGCAATTTCTATACTTGTGGTTGCCGTCCGTAATCTTTGTGTTCGTCGTAAATGATTATTAGTGTGGGTGCGGGTCTAAGAAGTGTACCGCCACCTACCACCCATCATTCGGTCGTTCCGACACTGCGTCGCGTTCTGAGTATCGCATCGTTATCGTAATACTATTGTTGTGATTTAAAATTAAATATAACCTTTTTAAAATTAATTTTTTAATCATATTATAATACTATTTACTTAGTATAGGGACATTATATAAAATTTAAACATTTTAAATAAGTTTTTTTTTTTTAAATCATTTATTTTTTTGTCATAGAAGTGATAATATAATATATAATAACATTAATAAGTAATGAGTTATAAGTTATAACTGATTCCTGATAGGTAAACCACGATTAAAACGTGGATCTAATATTTCGAGTAACAAATGGTCATAGTAAAATGAAATCAGTTGTTGCTGAATTCTTAGTTCGAAGAAAACGTCATCTCGTAATATCTTTTGGTACAACATGCCTGAAAACGTAAACAAGAACAATAAATTAAATATTTAGCATTATTGTACATGTATAAAACTACTGAATCCTCGTCAAAATGTGGGGGCAATAATGTAAGAATTGTGTTGTAAATTGTAATTAAAAAATGAATAACTGCAGTCTTGAAATGTTCACGTAGTAATTAGCTTTTTCTTTTATAGTACAAAATATTCTTATACTTGGTTTCGAAAATATTGTTTATTACCGAGTGTAAAATAAAGAATCTCTAATATTCCCATTAGTTATAACTATTGTATACCAACTATATACAAAACTAAATTAATGTCCAAAAAAAATATCCACGAATTTTTACGCCGAAATTTTGATGGGATACCTATAAAACTATAAACATAATTTCAGTAATTTATAACTGTGGACATACCTTTGGATGATCAAATGATGAAATAACAGTTAGGTCTTTGTGTTATATGTAGTTGTGCTTGTATTTGAAAAAAATAATTATCATTTGTTTTTAAATTTAATTTTCCATCAGTGAATGTCGCAAATTTCAATTTTCCACATTGAATAGCGTCTTCAGGTGTGAGATGTTTAATACTGTATATATATTTGATTTCTATTATACCGTCGTCTTCGATTAACTAGTCAGGACTTGCTGCCAAAAAATGATATGTTTCATCAACAAATAAACCAGCGGGGTTAAGTTTATCTCTTTTTCGAAGGAAATTCTTGCTATGGGTTTATTTTCAATTCCATAGTTTGTCCATGAATTACCAGAAAATATATTATATAATATACTTTTAACAGTATTTTTCCTGGAAGTTGTTGCTCGAAGTTTACAAACCTTTCTAAAATTTGAAGCTGTCAGTCTAATACTCCTCTCTTCTTTCCATTATTCGCTTTCAGACTGATTTTTCGTTGATTTTTCTAAAGTTATAATTTCTTCATTTGTCTTTTATATACGCTCTAAAAACTGTAATTATTTATCATTTAATTCTTTTGGATCCATATCTAATATTTGAGGTTCATCTGGAATACATCCATAGTCTCGGTCTGGGCCAATATATATTTTTTTAGTAGGCTTGATATTTCCAAACAGTTGTCGTCTTTTTATTTTAGTTTTATTTTTGTATGAACGTTGTTCTATAAAACGTTTAGTAAGAACTCCTGGACTTGCTTTTGTAATTTTTTTGTGAAATACACTTATATGAGTAGGGCCTGTATTTAAGGATGTTAGAGCAATATGACACCGTGTTTGGTAAGACCCTTTTAAAGAAAAATTAATACGCTTTCCACCTACGTACTTGGCGATCACACTATTATAATTTTCAACACAATTGTTATTAACATTATGAATTAAGCTTGAAGAATGGTGTACCAATAAATTTCTTGCAGCTAAAATGTCATTCCAAAGACCAGATTTTTCCAAATCAGGCACTAAATTTTTTTCACTGTCTTTTGGACTCATACAAAAATTCTGAGCACAATATGTAGGTATCCAAATATATGGTACGGTCCTTTTAAAATTAGGATTTCCACCGAATCGAACAAGAGCCATCATGTTTTGTGTAAGTTTCAGTATGGTCAAAATTATAATAATATTTATAAGTATTTTCTATGTATCTACTCCTAAGTAGATAATAGAGGCAACAAGCTTTTAATACTATGTGGTCAGTAGTTTCAGTTTTTAAAGCGATAGCAGAATAAAATACTCTAAATATTTGACTCAGGAGTCCAAAACTCTTTCTTTCAGTTCTTCATGCTCTTGACAGACAATAATTAAAATGGTTTTTTCGTATCTTTTCGAGCTTCTCCGTGTGTGTCATATATGTCTCCAGACAAAACGCTTCGTCCCCAACATAAACATATCGAAGTAAAAAGTGTTTCATTGGGAGGAAAGTAATTTCCCTCTTTAATTAACTTATACAAACTTGATCTCGAAAATATTCCACAATCGCCTTCTTTACCATACGAACCAGTATCGAAGTAAATAAATTTACAGTTTGCATCAACTATTGACAGTAAAACAATAGAAAAAACGTCTTCGTAATTGAAAATAATGAACAATTTTTCCTAGACAAAATATTTGTATGTTTCCCATCGATTGAACCTACACAATTGAGATTCAATTTTTCTTTTGATGGAGGTTTTTATAATATACCTGGCAATGGTAAGCTTAAACTTTTTAAGACCAACTGTTAAATACGAGTTATATATCTCTGAGATATTCGAAATGCAAATGATATAGATTGATTATAGATCGCAATGATTTTCCTGTAGCCATATATCTGTTAAAATTAAAACAATCCATTAATTATATAATTAACGAATAGGGGAGAGTGGGGCAGATATGAATGAAATTCACATTTTATTTTTTTTGACAAATTTTGTATTTGATACTTACAGGCTGTAATCTAAAAGTTTGTGAATACTATTGACCCATAATAACCTCATAAATTAAATAACTAATTTAATTTTTAACTATGAAGTTCAGCATATTTTTATTCAAATATACCCCATCCGTGGCTACATTTGAACGTGCAGGGGGTAGATTTGAATGTGTCTAATGCAATCAATGGGACACACTTGAATATTGATCATAAATAAATATTACATATCAAATTAAACTGGTTCTTTATTTTAATCATAAAAATAACAAAATATAATATGACCACGAAACTAGATATTATAGGAACATTTGGTAATTACTAAACCTAGGTATTTGTTTATATTATATAAAACTTAACTTAACAATACTTTCAAAACACATTTTTAAAACTCAACAATACATAAGATAGGTATATCCTCTACCCATATTTTAACAAAATTATAAATAACATAAAAAACTATTCGTAGTAAAATGGATAAGTCTTCATCTCAGCCCATGTTTTAGTCCTCGAATGAAACTTCAGGGAAAACCAAGACTCCTTTACTCCGTTTTGTATTACCCGTCACTTTTGGCTTTGGTAATAGTAACTCAATATCTGAATGTGGTATTCGATCCATATCATTTTCTTCAGGATAAACAAATGTGCCACCCGTTTTATTTTTTAAAAACGATACCTCATAGTTATGGTGATCCTAATCGTCTACACATCCAACTAAAAATGTTGTACTTTTCACAGTAACATATTTCATCAGTACGAAGTCACCATAGGTTATACCATCCAAATTAGTGTTTAAGTTGTCATTACTGTCATCACTGGACTTGAGATTGTTTCATGTTAGATACTTACAATACTAGTGTCAATTTTTTAAATAAAAAATTTAATTTTGGTGTTGATAATATTGCATTTGTATCCTGGATGAACATCAAAGGTACAAGTTATATTTGTAAAAATATGTGTCACGATTGATCAGGTTGACACTATGGTGCCATCTATTGGTTTAATTATAGCAATTTTTATGACTGACGAAAAGCGTCCATTTACCATTTGTGAAATGTATCAAACTATGTATTTTGATGAACACTTTCAAGCCTTTAATGTAATTAAGACAAATAATTTAATATGTATTTCTCTGGAGCAATTGGGTTGTACATATCCTACTCAAGCTGTTAACATACCAGGACTAACATTTATGCCAATAAAATAAAATGTGCATGTTATATCTACTAATTGTAATGGCTGTTATAAAATATACCATACTTATATTAAAATACTTAGGTTAGTTGATATATTTTTTTCAGTTGTATTAATTTTAATTTTAATAATATATTGTTTTTATTACCTAATTGTATTTAAAAAAAAAATAATATTATTCTTACATTTACCTATGACTTGATTTATTTTATTGATTAAAGTATAATGATGTATATTTCAATTTTTCAATTAATATAATAGAATCCAGTGGCACCGAACTTCAAAAATGTACTCGGACCAAGTGAAAATACAACGGCCCCAACTCACCCTAGGGGTTTGAACCTACATAATGTGTAATTTGTAAGTATGAAAGTTATAATAAAACCAACAATAGGGTTTATTTTATAATTTCAATATTTTTTCATTTAGCCCCCATTTTAAAATGTGGTCAGATTGTGGCCTGACCTAAATTTAAGACTTGGCGCCAATGATTGAATCTATTATAAAATTTTGGTCGATTAACAAAAACTTTAAGTACTTAGTATTAAAGTCTTTAAAGATTAAGTAATGCTAACTAAATTGTATAATCTTCAGTTACATAAGTTGGTTAGCGTAACCACTGACGGAGCAAGAAATATGACAGGCAAAAATATTGGATTGCAGGCTATTATTATTAATGAAATGAAATTAAAAGAATTGTCACCACCGCTATTTTTTCATTGCATTATTCATCAGCATGCACTTTGCGCCAAAATTATGTCGTGGGATTCAATAATGAAAGAAGTAGTATCTATTATCAATTTTATACAAAACAATGGACTGAATCATGGACAATTTCAAAGTTTTTTTATTGAAATTAATACAGAATATGGCGATGTATTGTACTACACCGCAGTTGATGGTTAAACAGAGGTCGTGTACTTGAAAAGTTTTTCATGTTACGTCAGGAAATATATAATTTTTTGAAAGAAAAAGGAAAGGACGCTTCCATGCTTGGAAATCAAACTTGGATTTCTGAACTGGCTTTTTGTGTTGACATATTGAAGTATATAAATGAAATCAACATAAAACTACAAGATAAAAATCAACTTATTCCTGATATGTGGTTTCATATTAAATCTTTTGAAATGAAATTGAAGCTATTACAAATTTACATTGAAAAAAATGAATTAAACACATTTTCCGAATTGTAAAAAACTTTTTGAATCGTCAGAATTTTCAATATCAACAGTTAAATTTGTTGAAGCTATTTCGATACTTCAACAAGAATTTAATAATCGATTTCAAGATTTCAAACGACATTCGCAATATTTTCAACTACTCGCCAATAGGTTTAATATTGATGTTGAAGATATACCTGTTGAGCTTCAAATGGAAATAGTAGATTTGCAGCCACAAGATATCTTAAAAGACTCATTCAAAGCATCGCCTTTACTTTTTTTCGCTGAACTTCCTGCATCATTTTCAAAAATTAAAAATATAGCTGCGAAATACTTCAGTATGTTTGGATCCACTTACGTATATGAACAGGCCTTTTCTCATATGAAAAAAATTAAAAACCCATACCGTTCACCGTTCTTTAACATGATCATCTCCACCATGTACTTAGAGCCAGCACAAGTAATTTTAATGTGGAAATTGCCCCGCGTTTATTTACGTTCATTCATAATTTGTCTACGACAGTCACAGTAGACAGTTGTCGTATTCGTATACTTGTACTAAAAGTCTTGTAGTTTATCCAGTTACTTTAGTTACTTGTTATTTAAGTATACTGAAGTATTTAGTATTTACATATTTTTACCTACGGTTTTGAAAATAATTGTCAAATATGTTTGACAATGAATCATTTATTAATGAGGTATCGAAGGAGGAATCAATATGGGATATGGGTAAGTTCTTTTCATTATCATATTTAATTATTTGAATTTAGAATTTAACTAACTTCGTTATTCTGAGTATGTATACCGTGTAATACTATACCTACGTAAAACGTCATTTCATCATATTAATATTACATATTCAATTTATAGAAAATAAGTTATACCATGATAAAAATGCCAAACATGTGAGTTGGACCAAGGTGGCCAGAGCTTCTATTAAAGACTTCGACGGACGAGCTTGAGGACATTTTTAAAAGCAAAAAAAGTAAGTATAAAATATATCATGTTGTAACTTGTAAGTTTTATTTAATATTCAGTGCACATGACAATATTCTTAATCCATAAATAACACATTAAAAAAAAAAACCGTTTTTTTTATATATTTTAAATAGCCGTATAGTTAATATAAATATGATAGGTGCATTACACATTATATTGTATTGCATAATGTTATCCTCAATATTAGCCTATCACCTTGTTTTGCCAGCTTAACTCATGAGCCGGTTTATTAAAATAGTTGACAAAATAGTCTCTAACTTCTTTTGCCATTGAGGTTGAGTTGCCTACTACAATTTTTTCTGTTGCATCCTCCATTTCACAACTTTGAGCATCTTCTGTGTTATATCCATCCCTGCGTCTAAAAATTGTGCAAAACACAACAAGCTTTAGTTATAGCTATGGCAAAATCTGGTTCTACCAATAGCGTGGTGTGAAAAACCCTCCATTTGTTGGATAAAATACCGAATGTGCATTCAATATTCTGCCTTGCGCTGGACAGACGGTAATTAAATATACGCCTTTTATCATTTAAAGATCTTCCGGGGAAAGGCCGTAAAAGATTCGTGTGCAAAGCAAACGCTTCGTCACCAATTATAACAAATGGTTGCGGAGTACCTTCTTCATCTCCTGGCAAATATTGAGGTTGTGGAAAATTATTTTTACAACCGTATAATTTTTTACCGAATGCTGATTTTTTAAAAATATTGCAGTCACTCTCCTTTCCAAATGATCCAACATCTATAATTGTGAAGCAGTTATTTGCATCACAGATGGCCAAGAGGATTAAGGAAAAAAAATGTTAGTAGTTGTAGTATAAAGTACCACTTCTGGGGGGACATTCTAGTCTGATGTGTTTCCCGTCTACAGCTCCTACACAATTCGGAAATTGGGTTTAATTATAAAACACCTCAGATATATGTAACCAATCATCCATTGTAGGTACAGCCATTTCCTTTGGTTGCAAGATTATCCATAACACTCCGCATGTTAATCGAACAATGTTTGCAATGGTTGACACGCCCATTAAAAAATCGAAATGAAGAGCAGAAAAGTTAGTCCCAGTTGCCAAATATCTGAATAATTAAATATACATTGTATTAAATAAATATTTAATGTATACTAGATAATTTAAATAATGTAATTATAATTTTATGTTCCTATTTAATATATCTATTTTTCTAATAGTGTATTATGTATATTATTAAAATGATTAAATTTGATTTGTAATGCATTTTACTAACATTTTTAATAATTTAGTACCTAAATATTTAATATTTAAAGTTAGCAATGAGTGCTAAAGAGCAGATTTTTAGGTTTTCAAAAGCTTAAAATATGATGCTAATATGTTATAAAAAAACACTATATTCTCTAAGTATTCCTTAAACTTGTAAATATGCCGATAATATGATTTTTTTCTGTAATAACTGTTATGCACCATTCTTTTGGTAACGGGAATTATTTAATTATAAATATAAAACAGTTCATACATAGGTATACAAATACAATAAAGTATATACAAAAAATAAACAATAAAATCAATAAATAACTTCCATGCACGTTTTCTTTGGTAATAGGTAAATAAATATTTAAAAGTAAAAACAAATTCATTAAATGTATTAAAAATTTCATCAAATACGATAATATATGGTACAATCGTGGACTGAGAGTAACAGAATATGTTACCTATTTGATTACAAACCAGTAGGTAATTTAATGATTTTTTTTTTTACCTAGAAAAAATTGTTGCTATAGAAATTAACATAATAGGTATATGATTTTTTATGAATAACAACGGAATATATTTTAAAATATGAAAAATAGGCTAAATATTCTCTAATGCCAAAATATGCTTCAATATGCAAAAAAAATTTTTCCTACGAACTCTGATGTATAAATCGCCCAAATTTTTCATTCTCGTAAAGTTGCATAAAGCCAATACAAATATGTAAAAACCTAAAGATCCGCACTTATAAGTAATGACGAATGAGTAATGTTATATTAATTTACATTTACTTTTTTTAAGTCATGGAACTCCAAAAGAAATAACCTAACCTAACCAACCGTCAAACTATACCAGAAGACCCGGAAAAGTGTTTTTTAATGTCGTTACTCCCTCAAATCAAAACTTTAACTGAAGACCAAAAATCAATGGTGTATATTGAATTTTTGAATACTATTCAACGAGTTAAACATTACTCATCTGCTATTCCTCATTCCTATAATCCTTCTAATGCACCAATTAATCAACCACCCAACTCATACTATTCTCAACAGCATTTTTCTTCTCCTAGTTATTACTATGCCAATGATTCATAGAATGTTCCTACAGCTATAATAAATTCTACCATTACTTCTCCACAAAGCTTACATGATAGATCCAGTAACTTTTTAGAACCTCCTTCTCCAGCAAATAATTCAACTAAAAAACAAAATTCTTACAATTTTTCCAACATGTCTTCTCCCACTCCACAAAATATGTCTACACCTCCAATACATCATGCCCATCACTATATAAACATTCACTCAGCCTACTTCTCCGTACGACTATTCAAATAAAAATACACCATGAATTTATTGTATAAAAACTAAAATTATTAATAAAATAAATACTAGTTTCTACATTTTTAAATTTTATATTTGAATACCTACCTCAGTGTCACGGTCAGACGCTCTTCAGGTGATATTGGTACACGCAAACCAGTGTGCTGTTTTGTCAATTTTGGTCTAACCAGCGATATCTTAATAAATTTAAATAAATGTAATTATTATTGTGTATAATATTATCATAAATTGTATATTTGTTTGTGTGTATATATAATGTATATTATACTATATAGTGATGACCGATTATTGCACATTATGTAAATTATGCAACTTTAATTATATAGGTATCTAGTGTTAAGTTTTTACTACCCGGCAAATATTTGAGATTCCTTCAGTACTTGGACGATATACATTATACACCATATTTTGGATTTTCGAAATGGACTCGATATTTATTTTAGATTCGAATCGTTGTATTTATTTTTTTTTTTTTTGTCTCCGGCAGGAAGTGAATCTAGTTATATAATGTTTATGGGGTAAAGTTAAAAAATTAAAAAGTTTAACTATTACGCAAAACCAATTTTTGAAAAAATCGGTTATATTTTTTGACTAACTCTAAAAAAAAATAAACGAAGGTTATTGGTACCTACATGGATTTTTCACTGAATACCAGCAATTTTTATACGGCATACAATTTTCAAAATATTTTAATTTTTTTTTAGCTATGTATAGGTATAAGAAAATGCTGATGTCAATTAGTTTGTTTTTATCATTATCGATCAAAAATTTTCGATTGGTCAAAAAACTTGAAAATTGAATACTGCAGGGTTCCTCATAAGTTGTTATTACTGGGAATCAAAAAAAAAGTTGAGGGTAAACCACATAATTTTTTTATGAGAGTCTGTTAGAATTTTAACAATATTCATCAAAATTACGAAAATTTGAAAATGATTTTGAATCAGAAATTCATAAAAAAATGTTCTATGTATGACTAAGGTTTTAAAATCTAATACAAGATTCCCATAACATTTACTACATTTAACAAAAAAAAAAATTTACCGAAAACTCAAATACATATTTTATGAGCGTTTAAAGTTAGACTTTGGATATACACCAGTAAATTAACAATTTCTCACAGAACGATTTTGTTATTTTGTTGTAATTTAAAAATATTATTCGTGGGTACTTGAAACTTTTAAAGTATATTATAATTATTTATATACACAATTACTACAATTACATATTTAATTTTTAAAATTAACATTATACATTTCCGTGTCCATGTTCATAATATAATTAATATAATAGGTATTAGTACTATAATATTAATTAATCATTACTAATTGTATAAACGTATAATGATTAAAATTTCATACTAAAAAAATATTGTATATTGGTCTATGAAATAGTTTGTAAACCATATATATTTCTACTTACCAGTTCATCAAACGATGTTATCGACATACGGTAATATTTCATGAACTCTTCTGGATAGCTACGAAGGGTCATAAATGTCACCTGAAACTGACCATTATCTGGTCTTTTTAAATTTAAAGGATGGACCCAATGCCGTATTTTAATTTTGTCTCGTTGCTGTTTCTTGCTGAATTCGTGTTCCTCTTATAATGCAAAAATAACACATGCGGCTTCAATATCATCTAATACTTCCATATTAACACAAAAAAAAAAAAAACGAAACGAAATACAACGAAGTAGTTAAGATATAATAGTATACGAATTGAACAGCAGACGTCATCCGCGATGGGAGGTAACAGCAGTACTAAACTAGTATACAGCAAAGTACAAATAATTTAATGGTTCAAATAACATTTGCCGCGCTTTTTATTTTTTAGAAACGTACCTAAATCGTCTAGTGTGAAAGGGCAGCGCAATTTCAAAATGCCGAAAAACGCGTCGATACGCGTCTAATGTGTAAGGAGTGTGCGTTCGCGTCTTAAAATCGCGACGTTCGAAACGCACGTTGACGTTTTTTTGGCGAAATACTTGCTCGTGCAATATTGCAGTTTTTGTTAGGACCACTAACTATACCATCATCTATGTAAAGCAAAGCAAGCATTCAAATTTAATAGATGCAAAGAGTTATTAAGAACAGCATTTGAAAAACATAATGAGATTTTTAAATTACATACCTATTATATCTTCTAAAAGATTAATTCCAGATAATAAACTTTCATCAAATACATTATTTGGCTCCAATTTGTCTCGATATAAACAGCGTGATGTAGAAGGAATTGGTGATGAACTGGCAGACAAACAGGAAACTGGTTTTTCTAAACACGGTACATCTAAAATATACCCAATAAAACCTACATTATCAAAGTCTGTCTTTATATTATGTAAAATCTAATAAATTACCTATACAATCAATATTCAAAGTTTGTAGTGTATCTGAAAGGGC